TGGATATTAACCCCTTATGGGATATATCATTTGCAAATATCTTCTCCCATTCAACAGGTTGCCTTTTTGTTTTGTTGATGGTTTCCTTTGTTGTACAGAAGGCTTTTATTTCGGTGTAGTCCCATTTGTTTAATTTTGCTTTTGTTTCATTTCCCTTGCTACAGGAGACATATCTAGAAAAATGTTTCAATAGCCAATGTCAAAGAAATTACCGCCTGTTTTCTTCTAGGAATGTTATGGTTTCAGCTCTTATGTTTAAGCCTTTAATCCATTTTGAGTTTATCTTTATGTATAAGAAAGTGGTATAATGGGGCACCTGGGTGGCTCAGTGGGTTAAAGCCTCTGCCTTTGGCTCAGGTCATGATCCCAGGGTCCTGGGATCAAGCCCCACATCGGGCTCTCTGCTCAGCAGGGAGTCTGCTTCCCTCCCCACCCCCCACCACCTGCCTCTCTGCCTACTTGTAACCTCTGTCTGTCAAATAAACAAATAAAATCTTAAAAAAAAAAAAGGCGGTGTAGTTTCATTCTTTTGCAGATAGCTGTCCAGTTTTACCAACAGCATTTACTGAAGAAGCTTAGCTCATTTAATTCTTAAAATAATCTCCTCAGCAAGGTACTCATTTCATAGATGAGAAAACTGAGACACAGAAAAGCTATAATCAAAGTCAACTAACAATAATTAGCAAAGTCAGGATTTAAACTCAGATTTGATTCCAGGCTCTTCCTGTGGCCCAACACTCTCTTCCCATTTCTTTTCTGGCTTCTGAAATGCTCTATAAGCCTCTCCCTCCCCGGAGGGCTCTTGGAAGTGACTTCCATTCACTTATCTCATGAAGGACAGTGTCTTGAATGGCCCATCAGATACCTAGTACTGAGACTCATTTACTGTTATTACTAACTTCCTTGATGACCTTGGCCAGCTCCTTAAGTTGCTGGGACCTCAAATTTCTCAACTGTAAAATGAGAGGATAGAACTAGATGAAACCTCCAGCTGTAAAATTCGGTGACTGCATTCTATGTGTTCACCCCATTTCTCCAGTGGGCATGTCTCCTCATCCTGTGGGCTGCTCACAACTCACTAGTAGGGTTCCCCCTTCTCTGACCACCCAAGCTAGAAGTATGCTACATTCCCACAACACCTACTGCTTTTACTCTGTTTTTGGCTCATCTTTTTCATTCTCTTTCCATATCTTACCTGAATTTAACTAACTTCTTCAAATATTTTTCTTTTTTTTTTTTTTTAAGATTTTATATATTTGAGAGAGGGAGAGAGAAAAGGAGAGAAGGAGCACATGAACAGGGGGAGGGGCAGAAGGAGAAGCAAACTCCCCACTGAGCAGGTAGCCAGATGTGGGGCTTGATACCAGGACCCTGGGGTCATGACCTGAGCCAAAGGCATACACTTAACAGACTGAGCCACCCAGGTGCCCTGATTTTTGTTTTTTTTCTTTAACTTCTATACAGTATTCCAATTCCAATACAGAATTCCAATTCCAATACAGTAAATGGTATTGGTAAAACTGGAATTGGAATAGAGTAAACCACAATTTATGTTATAATTCCCCCATGAGAGACAGTTGGTTGTTTCCATTTTTCGCAAATGGTCCTGTGACTAATATTATTTTACTTGCCTTCTTGAGTACATGTGAAAGAGATTCTCTAGAGTGAATGTCTAGAAATGGAATTACTGAGTCATAGGGTTTGTGCATTAGATATTGCCAAGTTGTTCCCCAAAGTGTAATACCAACATGTTTCCACTCGCAAAATGTAAGTGTTCTGTTTCCCATATCCTCACCAATACTTATCAAGCTTAATTTTTTTTCCAAACTAACATTTTGATTGCATATGTCTCACAGCACTGACCACTTCCTTCCTTATATTTGTATATATGTATATATACATATATACATATATATATATAGCATATAGCATCCCTACTGGATGGTAAACTTTATGAGGGCAGAATCTTTGCTTAACTCATTTTTATATTCTTCCCACAAAATTTATCGAGCTTAATAATATTGTAAGTATACAATAAAGAGCTGTGAACAAAAAAAAAGTAGAATTAATTAATCTTGACCCAAGGAAATGGAGAGTTCTGTGAGGGCAGGGATGAGGTGTTCTATCTCTAATAATCTAGGGTAAAGATATGGGTAGAGAATCCCCATCAGCTGTCTAGAGGACTGCAGAGGGGTCACAACTGGCCTACAGATACAGACTGAAGGTTTCAAGATCTGTAGTGGACTATCACCAACTCAGGGAGTTTCCAGGTTTAGATCATTTTTTTTTATCATGATATTCATCAAATATTTATTGATCGTTGAGTGGCAAATTTCCCAGTGTCTGGGGCCAGCTGTATTACGTACCAAGAGGGTTGTCTCTAAATGGGACTCCCCCACTTCTGGCCCCACTCCACTACTAAGAGTTGAATAGAATCCATGTGATCTTTGGACCATGGTAAATGCTTCCTCTTTTTGTCACCCTAGCAATTCCTGGCTGACTCATTTTCTAAATAAGCCACTTGTGGTTTTTGGTCTGACATCACATGTGGAAGAATGAGTAATTTTTTAAGAACCAGAACTATATTCAATCAGAATAAGATACACTGTGTATGTTACTCATGGTTCTAGGACAAGGGGTCAACACTGATACACATTCTCTGACCTTCTCCCACTGCCCCTTTCCTGGGACCAATAGGTATAGAGGAGGTAAAGGAAGGAGGAAGATATGGGTGTGAAGAATTTTTGTTTATTTCTTATTTTGCTTTCACATTATGTATAATTTAATAAAATTATATCTTGTTTCCTTTGCTAGATTAAATAAAAAATACTATAGCAAAATTGTCAAGGCCATGACTTATGCTGCTATATTGCTTGGGTTCAAACAGTGATACAAACAGCTCCATTGCATTCCAGCTGAGTGAATTTGAGCAAGTTATTGAATCTTGATGTGCCTCCATTTCTTCATTTATAAAACAGTACTAGTACCTATAATATAGAATTCTGGAGGGAATAAATGAATTGGTCTTTGTTAAATGCTTAGAATGGTGCCTGAAACTTAGTAGGCACTACGAAAGTGTTAGTAAACATATTTTTACTCCATCACAATGTTTATGCTCATAGTAAGTGCTCAATGTTTTTCAAAGAAATTAATGCATTCTACTAAACATTTCTAGAATTGGGGTAGGGGAAGAAGTGACCACAAGTGGCAGAAGAAGGTAGAGTTCTAGATCCTTGAACCTTGAAATCATGGGCTGACTTAGAAAGGAGACTCTGATGTCAGAGAACTTCACTCTCTGGCCTCTCAGCATCTATTGCTTGTGACGAGGGTTAGCAAGATAGTGGCATTTGGCTGAGTGTTATTTTGTTGGGTTATGATAGTATGTGTTGGAAATTATATAGATATAATGTTAATACACTGGTTTCCTGGGTGGCTCAGTCTTTGGACATCTGCCTTTGGCTCGGGTCATGATCCCAGGGTCCTGGGATTGAGCCCTGCATCGGGCTCCCTGCTTGGCAGGAGGCCCACTTCTCCCTCTCCCACTCCCCCTGCTTGTGTTCCCTCTCTTGCTGTCTCTCTCTGTCAAATGAATAAATAAAATCTTTTTTAAAAATACACTGGTTTACATTTATTAGCACAGATGTGGTGCTTATCTTCACAGGACTTGTGGTCTTTGGGAACCTACTCTTGTGTGAGCTGTGCAGAAGCCACAGCAAAGTCCCTTGGAGCCCACCCTCAATGGCAGACCTTTTTAGGATGCCTGAGGCCAGGCTTGTGAGATGCCACTCATCAGAGCAGGTGGGTCCAGCTTCATTGGCACCCTCATGTGGCTTTAGCTGAGGAGACTGATGGACCAGACAAGTAGGTCTAACTTGGCTGACACAGGATCAAGGGTGTTATGCTTATTCGAAAGTCTACAAATTCAGTAAAATTGGTAGAAATGCTGAGTCACCAAAGGAAATTCAGTTGTCCTGCAGGAAGCATTCACCGGGAGATGTCAAGAGGCCCAACATAAGTGACATCTAAAGGATAGCCGTACTCTCAACCACTTGCAAATAGCCACTCACACATAAACACATTCCCAAGCATACTGGCACAAACAGCATCACTCTCCTAGACATTTCCCTTCCCTACACTTGCAAGCACACACATATGCTTCACATATACTCTCTCAGCCAAAAGGGTGGCCTAGGGGAGACCTCATGGCTGAATCAAATGCTGGTTAATGCTGCTGCTTTTATTACACCAAAGGTCTTAACATTTATTTGGAGATGAACACAAAACTTGGCATACTGCTGTTACAGTGGCATGCATTCTCTACAGTGCAGCTTCAGAGCTCGAGATCACTGCAGCAAGCACATAAGAACTCTCCAGAGAAGAGAAAACGTGGAGCAGGGGGACTGCAGATCCTTGTTCTCTCCAGTATCGACAGACTAAAGGTGCTTTACCATGATAGTAGTAGAGGAATCTCTTGTGCTGCACAGGTGTCTTTTAAACAGCTAAACAGGTATGACAAGAGATCCAAGTGTGGATAGGTTCCTAACACTTAGAGCCAAGAGCATTTTGGGGTAAGTATATGCTCCCCAAACAGGCAGCACTGACTAAAGCGGGGGCATGCTTAGCACTGCCTCTGAGCTAGGGTAAGCTACCAAGAGTCCTCAGTGAAGGAATCCTGGTTTTATGAAGAAGAATAAGACATGAGGGCACTATCACAATAAGGCCACTACACTCACAGCTAACAATGACCTCAGAGGAAACTCTCAGGACTACAGGAAAGCAGCTCTATTCTCTCTGATGTCAGGTGTTCCTTGCTGGTTAGGCACCTGCCCTGAGACTTTCACATGGTCTTTTCTGAGCTGCACAATATCACTTAGCACAACAGAGCAAAGGAAGGGAACACACACGTCAAGGTCTTGGGATATCACCAAGCATGGCTGACTATTGGTAAATGTCTCAGATAAGTTTCCCAGTTGGGCTAGGTGCCCCCCCCGAGTATCTGGAGAGCTAATCTGAAAAGAGGCTGGCAAAGGACTTCCTCAAGCTCCGGATGGTCTCCGCTTTGGCTTCATCCTCATTGGCTGAAGACCGGAAGAAGGAGGACTCAGAGAAGCTGAAGGCATTTGTCAGGGACTGCGACTTGCTTGAAGATAAAAACCAGAAAGAACATGAGAGGGGGTGTTCCCAGTGAGGCAGGGAAAGAGGGTGACATGAGGATACACAACCGAACCCCCACTCCCACCCCAGGGAGACCAGGGTGATGGAGGAGAAAGTCAGCAATGGAGTACTGCCAGGACCCGGGGAAGCCCCTGTGCTATTATCCTCACCTTCAGTGCTGTTAAGATAGGAAAGGATGGGGCAGTGTGGGAGAGAAGGAGAAGGGGAAAAAGAGAAGAGAAAGAGGGAGAAGGGAAAAAAGAGAAAAGGGAAAGGAGGAGGAGTGACTCAAAGGCTGTTTCTTTTTTTTTTTTTTTAAAGATTTTATTTATTTATTTGACAGACAGAGATCACAAGTAGGCAGAGAGGCAGGCAGAGAGAGAGAGAAGGGGAAGCAGGCTCCCCGCTGCCCAGAGAGCCCAATGTGGGGCTCGATCCCAGGACTCTGGGATCATGACCTGAGTTGAAGGCAGAGGCTTTAACCCACTGAGCCATCCAGGCGCCCCTCAAAGGCTGTTTCTTATACTTAAGCTAAACTAAATGGCCCACAGGCTACATTTCAGAGGTCCCAACTTAGTAAGTAAGAATCTAGGACTCTCACACCCTTCCCTTCTGATGAAATATAGCAACCAGGGGACCATAGGCTCTTTGTACTCTCTTTTCCATTAATTGTCAAGTGGTAAAGCCAGCATCAGAAAACCTGGGTAAAGTCTTGGATCTGCCCTTCACTCATTCTTGTGCTTCTCTGGGTCTTGGTTTCTCATTTGTGATGTGCAGATGTTTGGTAAAATACTCTCCCCAGGCCTTTTTAGGCCTTTATACTCCGCTTTTTTTCCCTGATTCCAAATAAACTTGGAATAAACCAAGGCCTCAAGTTACTTCCTCTTAAGATGGACATGACCATTCTTTGTAGCCTTCCTCAAAGGAGCTCTAATATGAGGTCTGTGCAGTTCAGGGTATTCAGGGGCAAACGAGATAGGTATCTGGTACACACAAGGACATTAAGCAGTTTTCTAATTAAAAACCCAAATCACACATATTTTAGGAACCAGATTTCCCCCTGAAAGACTAGGGATTCAGAGAGAAAAACTGAAGTCAAGAAGGTTGAGGGGAGGCCAAGCCAAGTACTTGAGAAGAGAATAAGGTCTGGCATCTCCAGTAGTCTGCTATGTCTCCTTGACTTTCACTGTGTCACTTTCCTGATAGTTTCTGGCTGTAGAAATCTTCTCCTGATGTCTTAGGGTTCCCAACCCTTCCCTACATTCGGGATGCAGCCCCCAAAACTCCCCTCTACAGGAGTGTGAGCAGTTTCTCTCCTGTAGTGACTGTGAACAGAAACCCTGCCTTTCATTAGGGTTGGCGATGGGCCCCAACATGCTGGCCTTTGGGAGGGAGGGCCCCCTCTGCAAGCACAGCCAAGGGCACTGGATATAAGCCTCCTGATTGTTGCCAGATGACGGCTCTATTCAACAACTTCAGCCCAAAGGCAATGGTAACCTGAAGATCTGCTCTCAGACTGGGGCCAGTGGTGGCTAATGAGAAGGCAGGAGAGATTTTAAGTCAGCGGCAGAAAACAATTGGATTGAGGGGAAGTTATAGGTCAGGTGAGATGTGAAATGTGCCACTGGCCAGAGCTGGGGAGCAGGAGTGGGTGATGTCCCTCCAGCCACAAGGGCTGGAAGACCCAGAGAAAATGGTCATCTGGACTGCCCAAGCCTGAATCCTGGCTCTGCCACTAACTAGCAGAGTGGTTTTGGGAAAGAAAATTAGTCAAATCTCTTTGAGCAGTTTACTCATCTAAACAATGACTAGACCATGTCTAAGTGGCCTCCTTTTCTCCCTCCCTGAAGATGCCCATCACCTCACTCTGAGAAGCACTGATGGGTCACTCCCACCCCTGAAAGGCTATAGCTGTCTCTGCTTACAGTGATGACAGAGGTCTGTCTGGGGACGGTGCAGAGAGGCACCTCTAGTTCTAGGGGAGAGGGTAGAACGGACCACCATCCACATCCAGGTGCTGTCCATCCCAAGTACAGCTTTACTGTTTTCCAGTGGCCCTTAGTTCTTCCTCTGAAGCAGGACAGTGTGGTGGGGGCTTCTAGGGAGTGAGGAAGCCCAAGAAGATGGAGTTCCTCCGGGTATCTATCTGGGGCCCTCCTCTGATGACCATACCAGAAACTGACCTCCTTCTGACAAAGCAGAAGGTAACAAGTTCAAATGGATTTAACGCCTTCCCCTTCTTTCCCTTCTGGGCAGCCTTGCTGATTGCACACCCTAAACTGTGAGTCAGAGGCAGGAAAAAGGATTTTTTTTTTTTTTAATTTTGAGAGGGAGAAACACACACACACACACACACACACACACACACACACACACACAGAAAAGGAATGGAAAAAAGAGTGGGAGATAGGATTAAAAGAAAGAAAGAAGAAAGGAAGGAAGGAAGGAAAGAAGGAAGAAAGAAAGAAAGAAAGAAAGAAAGAAAGAAAGAAAGAACCCTTAGCTAATATAAGAATAGGAAAGGGGCAGTGACTCTGCCTTATTGGCATTCCCCAGGAAGAAAGGGTTTGAGCTTCTAGCTAGACCTTGGACTTTCACTTCCTTCTTTTCTACCCTCCTTAATCAACCCCCAACAATGCTCCCAACCAAAACAAAACAAAACAAAGCAAAACAAAAAACAACAACAACAAAAAAACAGACCAAAAAAAACAAAACAAAACCAAAAAACCCAAAACCAAAATCCAAAAAAGCTCCACAAAAATATCTGTAGAAGAAAGCCTGATTGAAGGTGCTTTCTAGCAGCTCTGGAGCCTAAGGCCTGTGAGGAGGGGCAGGAAGAAGGGAGGGGAAGGAGCTGCTGAGTTGTCTCTTACTTGAGCTGTGGGTGAGGCTGGGGCTTCTGTGGTGGAGCAGCCAGGGGTGGCTGGGCCTCTGCCAGGGAGCTGCTGCTGGAGGGTGCATCTCCGTGGGTGGTGGAGGAAGAAGAGGAGGAGGAGGAAGAGGAGGAAGGTGGTAGTGATGGTCCAGGGGGAGGTCGGCGTGGAGGCATCACCTTGCCTGGGGGCTGCATTCCTTGGGGTTGCCCAGGGCCCCCTAGGTTCAGTACAAGAAAAACTTCATAATTTAACCGTATCAAAGGGTTTCCTTATTAGAATCTATGTCTTAAAGGGTGAGGTTAGTTAATCACCAAAAGGATAAGCTCCGTTACAAGAAGCCACCCGAGGCTCTGTCAGGCTCCAGAGCCAGCCCCTGGTTTCCCTCATACATCTGCCACTACTTGCTCCTCCTCAGAGACACAGCACCTCAGGCACATCGGAAGTCAGGAGGACAAGGAAGAAACCATGGGATGAGTGCCCCTGATCAGAAGCAAGCTCTTTTACAGAAGGCCCCCTAGACCAGAGGGACCCCACCCCACCCCACTTCCCCAGAGGTTTCTCAGGTAGAGGGTAACCTGCCTCATGGTTTACTAGGAGGTCTCAAGTTCCACACTATAGATGCAGTACAAGGCAGTGGAAGCACAGGTCTGGGAGTCACAAAGTCAAGATAGTCATTCAGTGACTCCAAGCAAGTCAGCAAACTTCTCTGGGCCTTGGTGATTATAACCATAAAACTATGAAAAAGTAATCCCGAGTCTTAGTTGTTTTTCAAGAAGTAGTGTTTCAAAGATGTTAATGGACAAGAAAGTTCTTTAAAAAGTATTGTGTGCTTTATGATCATTAATGATCATAGACTTGCATTGTTTTTACAGAACTTGGGCCATGTCCGGCTCCTGACCAGCACATGCCTGATTGCCATGCCCCACCCCACCAGGGCTTCATTTGAACATTAACTCAAGCACATGACTAGGGGGAATCTTCTGTTTCCATGTGCTCTTTTGTCTCGTAGTACCATCCTCAGGGGGCTCTACTCCCTCTCTGGTGTGTGTGGTGAACTCCAAAAATCCAAGTTCTATTCTCCCCTGGAGATGTTGTGGGTACAAAAGACAGCAGAAAGAAAGAAGCAGCCCCTCACCTCCACCCCCCCGCCCAAAGGACCAGGACACCATTCTCTCAGCAGGAGACAGAAAACCATCCAGTGCGCTGGAGGGGGAAAAGGCCATCCTTCCTCTGGGAGTTGTTAGGCAGTAAGTATGATACCTGATTGCTCAGATTTTGCTTAGATGGGGGGGTGGTTCCTTAGTCATCTTTTGACTTAGTAAAATTCAAAAGATGTCCTCATCAGTGCATACTGACTAGTGGAAATGATGCATAATTGGCCTGAGAGATCCAATTTCTCATGTCTCACTCTCAGTGTCCACATTCATGAGCCAGCTGGAAGGAGTAGGCTTATAGAAACCCAAGAGCAGCTAGGAGTTATGTTGTAACTTAATATCCTAGAAACACCAGAGTACCTATACCCTCTGCAGAGGCAGAATTATCCATCTACACCACTATGCACCCAAGATTATCAGCCCATCTCCCTGCTACATGGCATGGGCTCCACTGTATCAATGACCAATGAATACCGGAGTTAGTTTTACATAAATACATAAATGGAATTTTGGATTGAAAACTTGAAGCTCCAAGTTCAAATCAGATAACCAGTAAAGATGAAGACGACAGATCAGCATCTTTCACGTTAGCCAGTTTTTGCCTCTTCCAAAGTCTGGCTTCATCTGTATCAGCCTTTTCTTGTAAAGTACAGCAGGTTGATGGCTCAGCCTCTTAGACCAGGAACCTGAGTTCCTTCCCACTTGTACAGAGATGCTTGAATAGCCAGAAACTTTACAACTTAACACTGAAGACAGATATAACTTTTCCTTTATTGCACATTAAGCTGTACAAGAGAGTCACAAAAGAGAGGTACTTAAATCACACTTCCAGCATTGGCTGAGGTTTTCCCAGCTGGATTGGTACAAAAAAAGGGGACAACATCAGAAAAGAAATGGATACAAAACACCTGAACAGCAATCCTATACTGTGACATGGATGTCCCCCAGGCCACAGAGTTGGCCCTTAGCATGCTGCCTGAGGGCGCGTGACAGTCCGGCCGCACTGCCTGCTTGCATCTGGCAGCAGGAGCCCTAATCCAGTGTCTCCCCCACCTGAGAAACTGGCTACCACCACCCTGGAGCCTGACTGAATTCAAATGGCAACTTTGTATTTGTGGCTCACAAATGTCACATGAAAAGCACCTGGATGTTCACACGGATAACATGCAGAGAAGCAACACCACCTTCAGCTCACCACTTGGACAAAAAAATAAAAATAAAAAATGTATTCCTCCATTCTGGGAAATGTTGCTCTATTCCTTTCTACCATTTCATCAGATTGGGAGGTATTTAAGGACCTGATTCTTATGCAACCCACCTAGAAGTGCATAAATGCATATATGTATATATTTACAACAGACCGACCACCATCACCATCTAAGGGAGGGATCACAGATGAGAACACTCACACTCAGTGCATTTCCCTGTAGCCTCAGAATTTGCCAGCAGCCGACAGAGAAACTAGGGCACATGCCCTTGACACATACACCATACTATCAACACTATTTATTCCTCAGACCTGGAATCCAGAATGGTAACATATCAGAATGGAAATGAGAGGAATGTAATAGTAGAGCTAGAAGCACTTCTTTAAAATCCAAACTGCTGGCATGAACTCCCATGGACCACAGTGCTAGAGGAGACCACTCAGAGCCCATCCCAGTATGGCTAGGAGATGGCAAGATGAGGCACTGAAGCCGAGGCTTTAATTAACTGTCTCATCACTGCCCAGTAACTGCATGTCAGAGGAAAGAAGACAAACTGGTGAGCTTTCTTCAATAGCCACATGGCTGTGGAGACTCTGTCCAAACACACACAAGCTAAAATCAGAGACAGTTCTTCCGAGGAAAGATAAAGCCCCTCATTCTCTGGCCTCCAGAGGGCTCTTGTAACAGCTAAAAATGAAAGCAGGAGTCCATCTCAGAGTTCTGTAGGCAGTATACCCCTCTGTGAAATGGGACATTTCTGATTTGGTCTCATGATTGCCTAGGGAGAGGCCAAGAGCAGAATGGTCAACTCCTTCTCAGACTTTCAGTAGTTTCCTGCACCCTATGTCCAAAATTGCTAAAGAATCATCTCTGTACATAGGTCAGGCTTTGGGGAATACAAAGCAGCCTCAGTTCCACAGAAGCGCATAATATGGCCAATTCAGAAACAGCAGCAAAGAAGAAACAACTTGGGGGACTGAGATCAACACACAGAAAATACTCACATGTTCACTTTGATATTGCACATCAGCGGCCCCATTTTTTTTTTTTTGTCTAATCTCATAGCTAATTAGTTAATAATAAAAAATAAGGTACACTGGGATGTCAAATACAGAACACATTCCTGGAAATAGCTTGTTCTTTATATTTCATGTCATCACTAAAAACACAAGAGCTCTACAGGCACAGCCAGCCTATTCACATAAACTCAAACTGCACCAAATTTTAGCAAAGGGAAAAAAGGTGGATGCCTTCAGATTCAACGGATGAAGCTATGGAAATTAGACCTTGAAAAATCTCTTAAACTTCTATCTATTTACCCTAGTCATGCAGAAAGGAAGCAAAAAGCACAATTCACTGAAGATCCCAAGCACACTCATGGAGGTAAGCAGGGGTGGGGGCGGTGACTTAATCGGAGCCTGGGGGTAGGGGGAGAAGGAGAGCAGTTGGGTTTTATTTTTGTGGTCTTTGTTTCTCCCTGTCCATCCCCCCAGTCCTATTTCACCCCACATTATGTAATACTTTAAAAAAATACTATCAAACCACCCAGAAGATAGAGTCACGCTAGATTTGGGAGAGGCACAATTCTTTTGTACACTGTTGACAAACAGCCCTGGAATCACAAGTTATACAGAGAAACGTAAGTGAGCATTACAAGCACGAACAGGAACAGGTAAACAACCAGACAGAGGAGCTGACACTGCATAGGAAAACACAGTCCAGTCAGCATTGAAAGAACGCAGAAACGGCACCAATGGGAGGGTCTGTTGCTCCCCTCCCCGCTTTCCTTTCTTCCCTTGTTTGTTTTTGGCTTAAAATTTCTGCTTTGAAAAATGAACTACCAATCACTTTAAGAAGCTTGGACTTGTTTTGGCCCTACTGCAATGCCATTACAGTCGAGAATATACTGTAAACAACCTTGGGGGGCTGGCCGCTGAGGTGGGGTCTTGCTCAAGTCCGGATCCTTAAGTGTTCCACTCTGGAAAACAAAATGCAAAAGAGATAAAAACAAAACTCCGAACAGATTCCAAAGAGAAACCCCGTGGCTTCATGGCACGTGTGCAGTGGGAACTGATGGGGACCATGGGATCTGGCCTAGAGGCTTCTGCTGTTCCAGAAACACCTCAGAGGTGTTCTCAACCTCTGAGATGTTGCTGGAGCACAGGTCTTGGCTATCTGGGGCTTAGTCCCACACTGATAGGCAGTGTCTGAGACCCCATAATCCCCCTTTTCATTTCCTCCCTCTAACACTTAGTCTGTCTAGAAGCTTTGAGTCTTCTAAGAGCAACTGGTTTCTTCTCTGGTGGCTACCTGCTGTCTAGTTCCCCATCATACTCATAGACCTGGCTTCCTGAAGGAAAGGGAAGATCAATACCCAACTCCAGAGGGTGGTTGGGCTTTAGGTGACTCCAGGGGCCCTAAGAGCAGGGGCTAGACCAGGTGATGAGTCCAGACTTGCCTCACTTCTCTTATGGAGTTAATTCTGGGGTAGGATTAGCTCTGGGGCTGGCTCTGGAGTCAGATCCACTCTTTGGGCTATGCTGGAACTCCCACAGGGAAGGACTTGAGGGAGGGGGGCACTTGTTTCCCCCAAAGCCCCCTTCCCCAGAGGGAAAGAGTAAGATGTTAATGCTTGTAAAAGTGTTCAAGGCCAAGCTGTTTTTCATTCTCAAATAGCATAATTACATTTTATCCAACAACATGGTTCCACTCCCATGCTCCCTCTCCTCCCAGCTATCATGATTATGCCCTGACAGGATCAAAGATTCATGTGACTTCAGTTTGCTAACATTTGAATTAAAGGCAGTGAACATTTGGAGCTTAAATTCAGTACAAGGGAAATGCTCTATAAAGCCCAAGGGTTGCCAAGTGTGTCAATGGTGATGTCACAGAGGGAGTTGCAGGGGCAAGGCTGTGAAATGGGCTAAGCATGTCTTCAGCATTCTCACACTTCCTTTTTCAGTGCTTCTCTCCCTCGTGACATACCCCTCAGCCGTACTCCCACATGAAAACTCTTTCTCCAGTTCCCCATTTCCTATGGGCCTTCCATTCTGACCATCAGTCTCCTCTCCTGCCTACAAAGGCCTGTTTTCAGCTCACTCAAGGAGAGCTGAAGTGTTACCCTCTCCAGTGTCCTGGTCTTTAACAACATTGCCTAAAACTTTCCTACTAAAAGGAATTAGGGCAGTAGGAGGCAGGGGACCTTTGAAATGTCCTAAGTGCCACCACATCTAAGGGCGCTGTTCTACCTACAATCCCCACTCTTCACGGATCACAGCAAGCACACCAACACTTCCCCTCTCTTTCTTCCAAGCAATGTCACAGTGCTTGGTCTGAGCTCTGACTCTGAAATACCCACACCCAACACACCAGCTAGAGACCACACCATCCAGTTAGCAGAAAGACCTGTCAGTTTTTCCCTCTCAACATCTAAGATTCATCACCTTCTCCTGACAATTGCTGGTCAAGCCTGTACTATATACTACTTAGACTACTACTTAGATTACTATAGTATTATTATAGTATTATTACTATTCTGCTTAGATTACTACTACTACTATTATAGTATACTACAGTACTATACTATACTACTACCAGAATAGTCTCCTCATGCTTTAGTCTCCTCTCTCTTCAATCTATCCTCTCTGTGCCTACTTAGTGTCCTCCTACATTCCTTCCCTAATTGTGTCACTTTAGTGCTCTAATAACTTATAGCTAACACTACATATGTGCCAGGTAACATGATTGACACTTTGATGAAGTATTGCAAACCTCATAAGACCTCTATGAGGTAGATGCTATTATTATCAACATCCCTAATCTTTAGACAAAGAAACTGAGGCCGAACTAAGTCAGGTAATTTGCCCAGGGTTACACAGTAGAGGCTGATGCAGCTGGGCTGTGAGGTTAGGCAACCTGATGCTCCCATTTTCTTCCCATTGCCAACAGGATGACAACCATATCCCTCAAGCTGACATCTAAAACTTGATTCAGCATGGTTGAAATTGACCTTCCTAGCCTTCTCTCTCACTCATGTCCTAAACACACCTGCTCCCTCCAGGCCCAACCCCTCACTCTTTATTATCTAGGTGAGGCAACACCATGTTACTCTCCAGAAATACATTTTCACCTGTTTTACCAATCCTTTCCAACACATCCCAGATGTCTAAGTCACTTTCTACTTCATCCATGAAATCTTCCCTTTTGACTGCCCCTTTTGACTGTGATCTCTTCTCTGAAAGCCTGAAACAGCACTTAGAAGACTCATACTACTGAAGAGCGTCTTCACAGTGCTGTGTTCTTATCTTAAAGACTGGGATGAAGCTTCCAAGAAGACTGACAGATCCTTCAGGGAACAGATGATGTGTCTTCATCTTCTCATGAATTCCTAACAAACTTGTTCTCAAAAAAAAAAAAAAAAAAAAAGAGATATATGGCCTGGAACAGGAACTATTTATTTAAAAAGTTAAAATAGTTGGAATTAGGAATATTTTGGAAAATTCAGGATGTATCATCATTTTACCAACACCATCAAGCATGGGGCTAAGTATATAAGAAGTCCTAAATAAACGCTTGTTAAATAAATGAACATGTAGTACAATAATGGTGAAAATCCAAAAAGGACTAGAGTTTAAGTCTTTAGGAGAGAGAAATGTCATTAAATCATAGAAGTTAAACCATATTGTATTTGGTATCAACTCCAGGGAGCAGCTCTGAAAATGCTCAGGTTAGGGAATTAAACTTGAGGCCTGCTATATGAGCTTGTATATTAGATGCAGAAGGTAAAGTTAAAACAAGCTCAAAGAAGCAGAAATTGCTTCCATCAAGACTGCCTAACCCAGGGACACTTTAGGCTCAAGAGTTCTTTCCCACTGTGCTCTCTTCTTTCTCTTGACCTGGCTGCCAACTGGTGAAGTCTGGAGCCAAGATGTAGTGTTTGATAATGGGTGCACAGATAACAGGGTGGCCTTTCTACCTGGGCTTCTGACATGCTAAGACTGGGCATCAAATTCATCCTCAACCACATACACATACACTGCTTCCTAGGTCTCCAGCAGCAAGTCTTTAAGATTGGGCAACAGAGTGACTGAGGAATTTGGGCCTTTGGGCTGGAAAGACCTTGGATTCAATCCAGATCTGCCATTTACTAGCTTTATGACCTTGGGCAAGTTATTTTGCCCCCCTGTACCCACCTCTTTTCACAAGGTTTCTGTGATGTGAAGTGAGATTGCCTATCTATTCATCTAGATATCTATAAGCATCTGGCCCCAGTAGGTGCTAAGTAAAATGCAACAGATGACAGTGATACTGATGAGGAATTTCCTCTGAAACTCTGTTGTTACCCAAGTCTTACTCCCCTGATGGAATACCCCCTAAAGTGTTCTATTCCTAGGCTTCAGAGAACTTTATTTAGTTGTGATAGTAAAGCCTCCTCTGGTCTCCCCGACAAGCTATCAGTGTTATGGTTTCTCATCGCCTGAGAAGGATACTCAGATGAAAGACAACAAAATTCATACAGTTTGTGGAGTCATTAGACTGGCTCTTGACAGTCTCCTTTCCTGGGGCCTCTCCCCATACCACTGATGGCTGCCAATTACCTCAGACATTGGTCAGGAACAACTTAAGATGTACTCCTCCAAAAGAATTGTTATTTTTTAGATAGGGTTATAGAAGACCACATAACAAGAGAGTAGAACCAGGGGCAATGGGCAAAAGCTCCAGAAAGGCAGAATTTTAGTTACGGGAAGAACTTTCTATAGTAAAATTAGTGGTAGAGGCTATCTTGGGAGATGAGTGTGTCCATGCAGAGGCTAGAGAATTAGGACAAAGATATTGTAGAGAATATGTAGAGAAATATTAGATAGATTAGGTGAACACTATGGTTCCTTCTATCCTGACAATTTATGATTCCGAGGGTGGGGGGAACCCTTTACAATCTCATAGATTAAGCTCTAACAGTAGAACTCCAGATACTCATTGGATGAGCTGACAGGGGTAATCATACCAAGGAAGGCTGGCTCTGGCTCTCCTCAGCCTCAGAAATATATAAATAAGACATGGATGAACTGAGCCCAAAAGTTCCCTTCCTAAAGCTTCAGAGGAAGAGCTCCCAGAGGCAGTCCTTTGAGCGGGATCCTGGGAATATGCCTTGGCCACCCTTGTCTGGTGCCTAGGGAGCTTCACCCTTTCCTGGCTCCACAGAGGTTGTGCACTGAAGACTTCCCAGGGACTATGAGGGGTAGGGGAAGAGTCCCTTAGGACTGTCCGTTGCTAGACTGAGACTCTCCAGCTCCACCCACAAGCCATCCATCTGTTGGGGCTGAGGGCTATTCCCCTGGGGTTTGGCTACCATGGGATCTGTCTCTGGTCACCAAGAACTGCCTGAGATGCTGAATTCCATGGAAGTCTGGCCACTCTGGCGTCACTGCCAAAGTCTGGCCTATAGCCAGCCCACAGCAGGAGCCCATGGCCAGACTGAGCTGCAGTTTTCCTCAGGAAGTTGAGCTGACTCAAACAGGTAGTAATATGTTGTCCAATGCTTGTGCTCCGCTGCACCCAAAAAAGAAGGGGGAATAAACGGACTTTACAGCAGCACAAGGGGGAAAAAAAACAAACAACTGTGGCTTTATAGAATGACAATGCTGCTGCCAAAAATTTGATGCAGCTAGAGGGGCTTCAGTGTCTCATGGAGGGGAGTGCTCAGGTCCTATGCTCTTTCAGCTGATAAGCCTCACAAGACAGCACTGCAACCAGTTCTGGGTGTTTCTTTAAGGGGGACACTGGTGGAATTAAAATGGGTACATGGGGAAAAAGTGGGTACCTGGAACAGACAGGATGGTGAGAAGTATGGAAATGACACCTTTCCTCATGTAACTTTGGGAACGTTACTTAATTTATGAGTCTCAGGTCCTCAAGCACACCAGTTGGAATGATTAAGCGAGGTAATCATGGAAGCTGGGACTGAGTTGAAGATCAAAG